TTGTTCCTAAAGGCCTACAATGTGGCATGGTATTGAATTAAATAAAAAAAAAAATGCGGCACTGGCTTTTGGCTATTTCGGAAGTTTGTTGCACCTGCTGTTTGGTAATTGGGCATTCCCAAACCTATGAACAGAAACATCATAGCCTGAATTAGTGGAAGGCCAGACGTATATTGCATTGTCTACAGAAAATGATTGCCTGGGGAGGGTTTCAGAAGAAATTTTCGAAGGAAACTTTTATTTTGTTGTTTTTAATTTGCTTTCTTTGTGTCAAAACCATTATCTCTTTCTAGTCTGGATACAGGTTTGCTGCGATCAGATTCCCATAGGCTCAAGGCAGAAAATTTTGTTTTGGTTGTTTGGCCTACACTTAAAGAAGAAAAACAAAACTATTATGCCCACAGTTTTTCCAAAATAAAGTTGTCACTTAGCATTTTGGTTTTGACTGTATTATGCAGCTTTAATATTTTCCAGCCAGGTTACTAAATGTTTTTTTGACATGTGATGGTCAAAGAGAAAAAGTAAGTTTTCTCCTGGTAAGTATTCCTTAAAGACTATATGACTCCCTCCCCCCCTCCCCCATTTTTGGTGAGTAACAAAAAGAAATTGTGTACAAAATGTTGAAATCTTAAATCTGCGTAAACTGGCCAATTAAAGGTGCTGTCTCTACAGATTAGGCCACATACACAGTGGCTATACCTGCCTGCTGTGATTGTGATTACTCTGTAGCCACACACCTGTCTCTAGTCAGACTGCACATTACAGGGAGAGAGGGTCAGTTTGGAGGAGAATTATACTTGAGTTCTGAGTCGATTGCATCTGGCAGAGCAGTAGACTAGACTTGACTGGATGTAGTCAGTGTCTGGACCATCCCCCCACCCCCTTTCAATATGTGCATAAATGGTCACGTGTGCATGCTGACACATAAGTGCTGATGCTAACAAATACACACAGGCTCACATACCCCACTTTATAAAGGAAAGAGATCATTGTTGCAGCCATATATCTATGTCTATATGATGGACTTGGGTGATCACTCATTCTATTTAGTTGAGTGTTATGAGTTGTTGCTGCCTGGGTTTCTTCGTTGGTTAACACTATGAAGAAGGAGTACTCAAGTGATTGGTCATTTGTTTCCCAACCAGTCATCCATTTAGGCTGAAAAAGAAAAGGAGCAAACTGCAGGAGTTGACAAATGCATCAACTGTAGTGATTATGCTCAGTTGCCACCTAACTCTGTAATACCATTTGGTGCTTAGTAACCATTTCTAGCAACACAGGGTCTGAACTTGTTACAAATTCTCTGAAAGATTGCTCTTAAGATAAGATTTATGTAACCCTGAAATAAATTCACATTTCTGAAAATTTTTAAAGCTTTGGCCCTGTTTCAAGAAAAAAAGTTGACTCAAAAGTTGTTTTCACATTTACTATTTCGTTCTACAATTAAAGTTTGATCCGTTGTCTACATTCATCCTGGGAGATACATTGTATGTGCACTGCATCAGTCCATTGTCAATCAGAAACTTCTGCAATTTCTTCCCTTTCATTCAACAGCTAGGTCACATTTCCTTGTTTAAGAGGACTGCTACTGATTTTTCTTAGGTCAAAGTAGACAAATTTTCTGGTCTTTTAACAACCTTAAAATGTTTGAGACAACTTTGGACTACATTTATTTGTGAAGTGGGACTTTGACTTCAGATCTGTCATCTATGGGTCATGCACAGTTGCCACAAAAGTCAATTGGAAATGTGCTTGTTGCAGTGCATACAAAACCTGCAGGTGGGTACACAGAGGTGCACAGATGATTTTAAAAAACGTTCCGTGCCTATCCTACCAACTGGGAAGCCCACCGGGATGCAGGATGCTACTGGCACTAGTGGGTATATACGGATGGCATTATTGAAGAGGACATCCCTTGGAAGAGTTCCCATGACAGATTGATGACATCAAGTATGAGATCAGACTGGAGAAAGTGTGCAAACTGTTTTCCTATGTGATAACCTGTCTTGAAAGTGTTCACTGACATATTAATCTGTTTCTGACATTTCTTTTCTTGCAGGATTAAGTGTTTTTGAAATACAGCTGTACAGTGTGTTTACTGTTGTTGGTTTATCTTATCTGGAAGAGTAATGGACTTGCAATGCATACTACTCAGGAATACTGAAATGAATTAAAATGAGAGGAGGGTTTAGAATTGCCACTCAGGCTGTATTCCCAGAGCTTTTAGATCGATCTATCCCCGCGGGGAGTCTCACTAGATTACTGTCAGATAATCCGGCTTAAATCACGATCACGATCACCTACTACAAGCTGTAAGGGGGTAATTAACTTTCGTGTCCGCTCAGATGACAGCTATTTAGCGTGAACCCCCAGGGAGTTAGGTCGATCTAAAGTAGATCGATCTAATCTCTGGAAATGGGGCCTTAGAGTGTACAGCATTACACTGGAGTCAATGAAGGTCATATATTAATTTGGCAAGTTCGAGGAGTCAAAACAGTTTCTTAGAGTTTCCAGAATATGAATGTCTGCTGGATGGTAGACGACATTATTTTCATATTTAAGTATAAAATAACAGTAAGTAATGTTGCTGGATTTTGTGTACATGATTTAATTTCTATGAACACAAGCAAGGTATGCAGTAAGGGACCATTCCCAGCACCCGTCTTACTAATTGTGGATTTTCTCAAAGTTGCAATCAACTAAAGAGACTTAGATGTCTGTCATGCCTACTGAAGCTGCAAGGGGGGGTTATTATTTAATGATTAAATAATTATTGTTAAGCAGCTTTAGTAGGCGTGCCAGACATATAAGCCACTTAAGCTGAAGGCAATTTAGCGAGAAACCCCTTGGAAATAGATCGATCTTGTTAGATCTAGTTATGGGAGCCTAGTCTAAAAGGGTCCACGCTTCCAGGAAAAGAAATCCTGTAAAATTGCAGGCCTGTAGCGTAAGGGTTGCCAACACTCCACATCACCTAATGAGCATTTTGACAACTAGTCAGGATCGATTCCCCTTGTTTTCAGGTGTTAATAACACATAAAACAATAAATCAGCCCATTTTGAGTACTTTGGCAACTTGGGCAACACCATACATATTAGTATTTTAATATGGGGATCATAATAGCACTTTGGAGGCTAGGGTAGGGTTTCCATTTAAATCAGGAGTCTTGAGATGCACTGATTCGTTTCTCTGACTACAAATGACCCATGCAACAGTGAAAACTGTCAAGTTAAATTGCCTGAAATGCATTTCACCTATGTTTTGTATGTGACCTTTTTAACACTGTTGGGTAGCTGCTGCTATTTTTGTCGAACTGGCATGATAAATTTTGCTACTTCTGTGCACTATTCACAGGAAAAGTGTTTATGGGTTCTTCCACAGGAATATCTACCTCCGTAGCATATTTCCCTTCCTTTGTGTATAATATAAACTTAATGCCTCATATCTTTTTGAAAAAGAAGGAGAATAATTTTTTCTTGGTCAATATTAGTAGAAAAAAGGTGCAAGATTTTTATTAATTAATTTATTTAAATAAAACATTCATTTGTAAGGTCTTTGTTAGATTGTATTGTGATTAAAAATTATTTTCACGATCACCTATGGCTTTAACATTCATAACCTACCTCCTTTCCATATAAGTACCTTTCTGGTGAAATTTGTTTTAAATGAGTGAAATTTGATTAGAGATATGCCTGGCTCATCGTGGGAAAAAAAGACCTGATAAGGATGAAACATGTGAAAGATTTCCACTGACGATTCTTTTTATGATGTTCTCAGATTGCTAAAAGATTTGTTTGAGACAGCTGGCTCTTTGGCCTCATAGATAGCATTTCTAGTGGGTGAGGAGTGATTCTTGTGTTTGATTTTTTTTTTTTTTTTATCCTAATGAAAAGAAAGTTAAGTCTTGAATATAAAGATAATATACATGTAGTGAAAATTCTTCTTTAATTCAATTCTTGTGTAAATACAGTATAATTTAGGGGAGGAAAGGAAAAATCACAAACTACATATATAATGCATTTCAGTAGAGAGCAGAATTCTAACATTTCACATGATCTTGATGTGAAGAGAATTTAAGGGCAGGTGTCAAGTCGAAAGATGATGGAATAGAAAAAAGGCTAAATCAAATACCACAGACTCTTTTTCTGGAGAAAAACAAACTTGGACAGGCACACTTATAGTGACAGCTTGACTGAGCTTTCAAAGATGAGACTAGTAAATGTTTAGTCTGCCAATTAGCACCCTGCTTGTCTCCATCCTCTGTAGATGATACCATGGTCTCATGCAAACTCATTATAATACTTGCATACACATTAAATTGAAACAAAGTAATATTTTGACAGAAATTCCTGAAAACCTATTTTTTTGCAAACTTTTTGAAAGAAGGATTGAATTCATACCACAATTCATATTGGTTTGGTGGAAATAGTACAAATAGAGAGATTATGTATATACTCATAGTGCAAATTTAAATGTGATTCAATTACAGATATAAGACATGAAAAGATGCTTTCACTACCATTATTTATGTCAAATAGAAATATTAGACTTTAAAAGATACATATTTCTGAGTACTGATTTGTATGTTAATTGGAGATAATGGGCATTTAAAAAAATATATATATATATGTGTGTGTGTGTGTGTGTGTGTGTGTGTGTGTGTGTGTGTGTGTGTGTGTGTGCTCTTTTGGAATAAGTTGGTTTAGATTTATGTGGGATTGTCGTAAGTCCTGATGAAAACGGTTTTGACAGACTGATGAAGAATGCTTTGCCGGTACAATGTTGATCTAATATTTTGTTTCCTTCCAAATTGCTTTCATGTCCTGTTCGATCCCTCGTTTGTTTCTTCATGAGTTGGTGACATTCACATGTAGGTAGTGACGGGAAAGGTAATTTTTTACAGAAAAAAATGATATAATCTCAATGACTACTTAAATATTTTGAAATCTAAATTGATCAATTGATATACAACTTTAATCTTTGTAAAATTCGGTTTCAGAATCTCCGGCACAAGAAGTTGCAGTAGAATTGGGTGATGATGTGCAGCTCAACTGTTCCTTTCCTGTTACTGAAGGTGGTAAGTTGTGGTGGTGGCTGGGGGGGGGGGATAAGTATTGTAATTTACTTGATTTTATGATATTACTATAAGTGTGCATGCATGATATGGTATTCCCCATGCATATGTGTATTCACATACAAGAAGGGTAAAAACTGGCTTCAGTCCATCTCTTGAGAAAGCTTTTATTGGTGGTCTAGAAAACCCCTCTGGTATTGAATGTTAACAAAAAACACTTGGGTATAAATCATGTTTGAAGCTATATTAACGTAGGCTTATTTGTGAAGTCCGATCTTATTAGAGTTTTAAGGTAATTGGATCAGGTGCACAGTCATAGTGCAAACATATGGAACCTTTTGAGAATTTGCATGTTTTAAGGTGTACATATGAAAACCACAGTTTGCATTGGGTGGGCCTTCACTGGTCTAGAATTAAAGCAAATTATCAATAAGTGGTACATTAACATGTGACATTTATTACTTTTTAATTAAGTCGGAGAACTTGTATGCCCCCCCCCCCCTTTGTGAAAACAAGAATGATTGACTGATGCATGTAGATTTTAATATATTTCATAAAATTTAATTATATAATAATAAAGTTGCCTTATTTTGCTCACCTATTGACTTGGCTGAAGACCATAATTATCAGTATAGTCTTTTTCTTTATAATCTAGTGATTCCTAGCTTGAACTGGCAGAAACAACCAAAGATTATCTATGTAAAGGAGATAGCAGTTCATACAGACTCAAGAATATCTCTAGCAGGTAAGGATGTTGTCTGGGACAATCTTTGTAAAAGTTGATATTCAAAAAACTTTCTTAGACTACAGTTATGTTGGTCCCACAATAAGTGTGTGTGAGATAGCTCTATATATATAATTTTATTTATTTTTAAAAATCTTATAATGTTTTTTAAAACCCAGGCTCCCATACTTACCATTGGTTAATGAATCCATTTTTACATATAAAGTTAGTCCCTTTTTTTTTTTTTTTTAATAATCTCTTAAGAGATTATAACAGAGTATAGCCATCAGTGGAGGTCGCGTGGTCTAAAGACAAGCTCAGATATCAGAATAATAGCTAATAACTGCCATTTTTGTGGTAAAACAGAATATATTATATTTCTATGAGTTGTTCACAATGTTTTTATTGTGAAATATAGATCTTATACAAAGAGTTATTATCCCTTTAATGGTTTTCATGCAAGAAGTTGAAAAAAATATCCAGTCAAAAGTTACAAGTGCTCACCTGACAGCTTTAACCCCCAGCAACACCACAGATTACTGAGGGTGCTGCCATCTATTGATCATAACTGACATTACACTACTGCCTTCTTTTGCTCATAAACAGACTGCTAAACATGATTAAAAAAAGATGAAAAATACATAAAGTACATTGGCCAATATTTTGTCAGTGTTTTGACCCATATTTTTGTCGGGGGCAAATCTTGTTAATGTTATCCTATATTTCAGCTGATATTCCTAATGGTGTATACAACCTTGTGATCAGTGGCACTCAGTTGAGTGATAGTGGGACCTATGCGTGTGTCAACCAGGAAGGAGATGCAGAGGAAAAATTGTTCAGTTTGAAGGTTCAGTGTATGTATGGCATGGGCCATTTGGCACATATGTAGCATGACTGTTATTGTGTATTGTGAAATCATCGCCTAGTTTTTAGATTTTTGTAGATCCAATCTGATGCTTATAGGTTTGGGAAGGACAAATTTTTGGGATAAAAAAATAATTAAAGTCTTTTTGGTATTGCTGTAATAATAAACTATATATATTTCCCTTTGAGTTCAGAAAATTAATAATTGCATGTGTATTTTTAGTGAGGCCAACCATTGAACATTTTCCCGAAGCCCCAGTTACCAAAGTGGTTGGAGACGGCATCTCCCTAGCGTGCAATGCCTCTGGCATCCCCTCACCCACAATCACATGGAGGAAGGGGGTATGTTTATGTTCAGTCACTGAGGGCTCATTATCAATAAAACTGTCTACTTTTTATGTACAGACACAGATGTGTCTGTACATATTGCCATCACCTGCGTCTGTCGTCGCCGTCGCCGATCATGTCGCCGTCGCCGTGCACTTTCAGCGTTAACACCATAAGTGGAAGACAGTTTTACTTTTTGGCTTTATATTTACAGAGCTGACTAATATTCATAAAACGCAGGTCAAGTTCGAAAATCAGCATGATCGGGCCATTATTGTAGAATTTATGCTGTTTTTTCACTTTTTAGCATAT